TAGTTGCAATTTCCTTAATGTAGTTGCGCTTTTAGATTTGTAGTTGCAGTTTGCACTTCAGGGCCACCGTAAAGACCACCCCTCACTCAGACATTTTCTCAGCCTTGCAGGTGAAACAAACTGAGTAAAAACATTTTTCACTGGATAAATAGCATAACTAAGTATATAAAACAAGAGAAATCTTAACTTTCCTACCACAAGGTGCAGGAACTTCTTAAAACTGTTCCAGTTGAGGGGGGGGGGGGCATTAAATTACCTCGGTATTTCCCCGTCCTCCATGTACTCCGGGACTGGGTGAGTGCTAACTTTCTGTTCCCCAAACAGCTTCTTGGCCAGATTGTAGTAAACATCTCTGTCTGGAGTAACAGCCCTGCAACAGATAAAGCTGCTTGGTTAGTTTATGAAACAGATGGTAGATCCATTTTGATGGAAAGTCTGACAACAGCGTAGATGTTCACCTGGAGTTGATGTTGTGGATGATATGATAGTAAGCTTTGGCCCTCAGGGTATGCGGCACGGCCCAGAATCCCTCTCGGCCCATGGTTTTCAGCTGCTGGTGGCTGCTCTTCAGGATCTGCTGGTATTTCTTCGCAGGCTCTGGATCAATCTTCTCCCAGTCCACAAACTGGCCGTACTTCATACCGGAGCTGGAGCAAATTTCCCAGTTGTCCGACTCAGAGATGGTTATCATGGACACCCGTCTGGTTTTACTCCCTAAATGAAGGAACCACATTCTAATTCGTTTTTTCCCCTCACAGCTTAGAGCAGGGGTGGGCAACTCCAGTTCCTGATTGCCGGTATCCTGCAACTTATAGATGTGCCGTTGGTGCAACACACCTGAATCAAGCAATTAGATGATCGAGAGGAATCTGTGACTGCATTCTGAGGAGGTAACTCGTTTGATTCAGGCGTGTTGGACCAAGGATGAATCTAAAAGTTGCAGGATACCGGCCCCCAAGAAGTGGAATTGCCCACCCCTGCCTTAGAGCATTTATTGTCCTCCAATAAAGCACTGGTTCCGTACCACTGATCTCTCTCGACAGCTTAACTGGTTTAGACTTCTTTGGATTGATGGGAACCGGAACGGAGTGTTTCTCATCTTTATCCTCCTTTTTGGACATTTGATGTCTTAACTGCGAGGTTGTTCTCTGCCTCAGAGGGGAGGAACGTGAGAAGTTTCCTGTCTCGAACTCGGAGTGCAGCTCTGATGTCTCATAACTGTAAAATGACCTAAAGGAGAAGGTTTTGATTAAATGTTACTCAGTGGGTTACAGTACATTGGTCATTAGTCGTGTAACAACTCGACTGCGGAAACAGACAACAGCAATCTAAAGAAATATTAGAAGTAGGGGCGGATTAAGGAAATTTGGGGCCTTAAGTAAAGACAGGCAGGGGACAGCCCCATTCTCCAGATAGAGAAATGTTAATAGAATAGACATCCATTATCTGTTCTAGGTTGTGTCCCTCTCTTCTTGTCCCTTTTCTTCTTGTTTTCCTCTCTATGTTTTGTACTCAGCTGACTTTTCATGCTGTCTCTAAAGGAATGAAAGATTTTTTCCAAGCACTAAGCTCTCTTAGCTGATTGCTCCTTGCTGTGTTTCCAAAAAGGCAGATCGCAAGTG